GTAGATGATAATTTTTACAGACGTTCCAGTGAATCACTTTGGCGACTGTGTTATATCATTGTTTATAGTCAGCTTGTGTGATTTTCTTGCACGAGCTGAGTATATGATCTACTGCTTCTTTGCACAATCTACACTTTGAATCATTTGATGATTTTTCAATTCTTGTCCAGTTCAGGTTGTGTCCAGTTAATAATTCGAGCAGTGTATTGTATAACACAGGTATGTTCCAGGTATCAAAAATTTAGTTTCCATCATTCAATTTTGTCTTTAACAATTTTCTCACTCTTTGAATGTATTCTTTACTGATCACATTTTTAACTTGTCCATGCTTGATGCTATCCCACTGTAAAATGCCTAGATATTTGTAGGTTTCATCCTGATGGCTCCTGATGATTTGGCCATTCGGCATTTCAATTCCATTACTGTTTGTGATTTTACCCCAATTTATTGCTACTGTAGCACATTTCTCTAGGCCAAATTCCATTGCCATATCTGTGCTAAAAATTCTTACAGAATTTGTCAGTGACTAGATCTCAATTTCTGATTTTCCATAAAGCTTCAGATCATCCATATAAAGCAAATGTGAGATGTTATTAACATTTTTTGCTGTTTAGTAGCCAAGATTTGTTTTTTTCAAAATCACTGAAAGTGGGATCATAGCAATGACAAATAGTAAGGGTGATAATGAGTCACCCTGGAAGATGCCTCTCCTAATGTTGACATGCCCATATTTTTCATTTCCAACTACCAATTCTGTTTTCCACTGCCTCATTATTTTTTTTGATATAGATTCTAATGTTTTTGCTGACACTAGTTGTTTCCAGACAATTGATCCAACTATGTGGTAATGAATCAAACACTTTTTTATAATCAATCCAGACCATATATAAATTGGTTTTTTGGCTTTTGCGATTCTGCAAAACCATTTTATCAATCCAAATGTGATCTTTTGTACCTCCTTTTCCTTTTATTTCCTTTCTGGTCTACTGGAATGATGATATTTTCTTATTATTATTAATAAGAAATAATAATTATTAAATTATTAAATAAGAAATAATAATAATTATTAAATTATTTTCTTCCAAATAATTTTGGATGTTGTCCACTATTATGCTGGTGAGTAGTTTAAACATTGTAAGCAAGTATGTTATTGGCCTATAGTTCTCTGGTGTTGTCCCTTTTGCTGAGTCTTTTTGAATATTATTATTATTATTATTATTATTACTATTATTACTATTATTACTATTATTAATAGTACTATTAGTTAAAGTAGTATTTATTAAATGATTTTCATATAATAAATGGGGGTTGATGAACAATCTGAAACTTCATGAAAGGATCGATGAGCTGAAGAGTTTGTGGACCCATGCTCTAAAGCAATTGTTGCTACCTCAAAAAAAAAAAAAAGCCTCACTTTATAGGAAATTCCATTATTTGTATTTTGCGGAAAGGGGTTTCCCTGACTACATTTTCTGAGTTCACTGTAAGAGTGATTATGAGAATGTTCCTCTGTTTTAATAATATACTATATGATGCATCATTATAATCTTAGGAATATATTGTTTAGATAAACTTTAAATACCCAACTTTCCCAAAGGGCAGGCACAAAGGTATGCTCAAATGCATAGGCTTTTCTGCTAATTGGCTTTCTATTCAGCCTTCTCCTTCACATTCTCGTCATTTTCAAGGAAATCAAAGAATTAGTTGTACCCGAACTCTGGCTTCTGTCAAGTTGGTCCAGACAGCAATCTCTTCTCGGGTACTCATGTCTGGATACCGGTTCCTTTGAAAAGTGGCTTCCAGCTCCTGGAGTTGTTGGCTGGTAAAATGAGTTCTCTGCCTACGTTGCTTCTTTCTCAGGGAGCCATCCTCAGGAGTGGAATCCTCAGTCTGGTTCTGCTGTGACTTTTCTGTGTCTATGTAAGCAAAAGCAAGGAATCTATCACAGATTTTCACAGTGTGGCAAGACAACATTTTTTCTTGCATATACATTCCTACTAATGAAAGTGCTATTATTAAATGATGACCTCTGTGTACATTAGCTCAACACATACACAAGTCATTTGTCTGAGCCAAAGACAATTCTGTAGTTCTGCCACCGCACATGGACAGCTTATCACAAAGGCTGATCCTTTAGATAACACACATGGTGGCAGTGCAGAACATATACTTTTTCTTAATTTTTGCTCTGAATTCTTCTACTTTCTTAGTGATCATATGTGCTTTTGACAGGAGTAAAACCCAATTCACCTGAGGAATATTTGTGAGTAAATACTGTGGATTGCATAATACTGGGCAGCCTAGATATACTGACATTTTATGACTTGAAAAAATAATTTTTCTTTAATAGTTATGCAATCAGAAAAAATATATCAAACTGAAGAAGTAAATTAAATGTTAATGAATGTTTCTAGCTATTAAAACTTGAATCCTTTCTGATTCCTGAAATTTCTGAATTTCTCACATGGCTATCATGAGAGGGGGTGGATACTTTTTTGTTTTAAATAAACACGAGGAGGAGGAAAACATGCAACACCTTCCAACCCAGAGTATGAAAACTACTGAGATCTTAAAGAATTGAAACACCTGCAGAATAGTAGCTTCATTATTCACTCTAAAATTGTTTTGCTGTTCACTCTCATTTACCAAGAAACATGTGGGCCATTTAGAGTTGCCAGTCTTTGGATCTCTAGATACCAAGATGTCTGTGAGAACAGCAGCAAAATAAAATATTAAAAACATAACCAGTTTCAACCTAAAAAAACAGTTACATAAACACTGCTTCAACCAGAGGCAAACTGTTCTTTTATTTAATAGAAATAAAACATTTTGGAATTGCTGGTATTGCAGGGTATTTATTTATTATTCTACCTTTCCATTTAGGAACTCAAGGTGGTGACTTAGCACCACTGCAATTTTGGGCAGGTCTCTTTTTATTATTAACTTGTATTTAAAGAAAAAGAAATCAATCATATACTTGATTTAAATAATATCAAGTCAAATCCCTCCACATCCAAGCCTGTTCCCATCCATAACAACAACTAATAATAATAGATTAATAATAATTAATAAAATAATAATAATTACAAAAAGTAATGGAATTGAAATGCCGAATGGCCAAATCATCAGAAGCCATCAGGATGAAACCTACAAATATCTGAGCATTTTACAGTTGGATAACATCAAGCATGGACAAGTTAAAAATGTGATCAGTAAAGAATACATTCAAAGAGTGAGAAAATTGTTAAAGACAAAATTGAATCATGGAAACACCATCAAAGCCATCAATACCTGGGCGATACCTGTGTTATACAATACACTGCTCGAATTATTAACTGGACAAAAGCTGAACTGGACCGTTTGGACTGAAAAACAAGAACACTCATGACTATTCACTATGCATTTCATCCCCATAGTGATATTGATAGATTATACCTGCCCCGCAGAAATGGAGGCAGAGGTTTACGTCAGGTCAAACAAACTGTCAAAGAAGAAAAGCATGCATTGGCTGATTATGTAAAAGTCAGCCAAGACTGATGCAAGTTAAAAATTGGGACTTACTCAATGTACAGGAAACAAAACATGAATATTGAAATAATGTAATAAAAACACAAACAGAAAGCCGGCAAGGAAGAGCATTACATGGTCAATTTCTGCCAAAGATCGAGGGTAAAATGGATAAAGTTAAAACCTGGCAATGGCTTATAACTGGAACATTAAAAAAGGAAACTGAAGGCTTGATTTTAACTGCTCAAGAGTATTCGAACTAATTGTATTCGAACTAATGCAATCAAGGCCAGAATTGAAAAATCATCAAATGATTCAAAGTGTAGATTGTGC